TATATTATAATTGTTTCACTCCTCGAAAATAATTGAGCCCATTGATGTATACGTGTAATTATCTGTTGACGAAAATATTGTCATTAAACATTTATATGTCATAAACAGGTGGAAATGTAAAAAATGAAATATAAAAGTGGAGGAATTATTGTGGAGTGTCTTAAAAAAGGCAAATAATAAGCTTATTTATAATGAATATTTATTAATATGTGGCAATACCAGCGACCGTTAGTCCGCCCGCGTATCAGGCGACCATGACCACGGTCGTCAGCGACCACGATTGTCAGCGACCTGACGAAATACCATATTATATTTCCGCGACCATTACCTCAAAAATGTTGGTCGCTACGACCATGATCTGTGTTTAGAATTCCAAAACAGCGTTCCTTGGTAGTTATCAATGTCAGTATGTGTGTATACTTGCTTTGCCTAAATACTAACCATCTCATCATTTTGACTAATTATCTTAGTCCATGTAAAAGGCTTTTGAACTTAACAACAATTTAAAATGACTTAACGATGTACTTGCAAAGGCAAAGAGTATTATAAAATTAGCATCAGTTAACTTGTCACAGGGATAACGACTGCAAACAGTCAATTGTGCAAATAATTAATGTTACCGAGGTAAATGTAATGCGATGCACACACACCTGCTTCCGTCACGCTAAAACATTACTTAGTACTTACAGGTTTTATTCCATAATCGTTATTTACTATTGTTATTTTTCTAATCTAACCTTATCCTCTGGCTTTTCCTGCTAAATCAAAACTGAGATTTAGACATCGATAAAAAATGTACTATATAGTTATATACACAATCAGCGACAAAAAATGTCCTCACCGATTGAGCGCACATTTGAACATTTGAGAGCGCTTTAAATACTTTTTTTGTGAAAACAACTTTGGGCATTGCATTTAAGGTTCAATTTACATTGTTATATATTTATTTCAACTAGAATAATTATCTAGACACAATTGGTGACAATTTTAAGAGAACTTTGTTTGGGATTTGTTTTAGTACATAGTGGTGATAACCAAGCTATTTGAACGCTTTGAGGCTTCTTCGTCGTTATGCCTCCCCCAAATAATTTTCCACATCTAGACATGCTGAATGTGAAAACTCTATCATTGTGAATCACAAACAAAACTTTTTTATATTTTCCAAGTTAAGAAATTATGAAAAATATTTTCCTAAAGCAAATCCAAGATTTATAAACATATGTCTAGCATTAAAATTGACTAAGCCCAAAAAGGGTTAAGGGTTACAACTACCCTTTGTCAAAAAGATCACAGTCAAGCAACAGGTGTCTTTTATTTTCGTTATTCTATTTCATACAAAGATATACTCACAAATTAGAATTTTTGTATTTTATTGACACATTTCATTGAAGTAACAAAAAAGAAATAGACGTTTATGACGTCATAGAGAAAAGTTTTATCAAAAACTGTAATTATACTATTTTAATCGAATGCGCTTCTATCTTTTAATTATTAATTAACATAACGAACTCGTTAAAGATAAATACTACGATAATGAATGCTAGAATACAAATATTTTATTTTTGAATTTTCATTTACAATTCAATTAAATATCTAACGTATATAGATTAAAATTTAATTGTAAGTACTATTTGCATAGAAACTATTAAATATAACCTCAATACGACTGAGAATTAGATATGCGAATACCTACTTATGTATGTATGTTTACTACATGCACAGTTATTAGTTAATACTCTGCCATTTATGGTACAAGACAAGGTAAAACTGTATCAATTTTTCTTATATCAGAATAAGTTTCATACAATTTTTTTGCTGAATAATTACCTTTTAGTTAAAAAGACCTTTATATTTCACTAAGAGATAGATTTTTTCATATAGTAGGTATACATAGCTATTATTTATATTTCTGAAAGTATTGATATCGTTTTTAAGCTTTTATTAGAATAAATGAATAGCAAAGGCACTCAACAACATTCAGTCAACTAACAAACATTCTCAGAAAATGAACCTATGAACTCCTGCATACTTAAATGAGCGTAAATGCAATTTCCACAAAACTATGACAGTCATTTTTACTTTTTTGTATGAATAGTAGAGAATTATACAATCTGAACTATTAATTATAATAAATTCGGAAGCTTAGCACTAAAAATATAAATACTGTTTTATTTTAGCATAAAATTAAATTGTAAAAAATAAATTGTAAACATGTTTTTGTGCTGCGCTATAAATAAGCGGACGTAAGCTGTTGTACGATATTTCATAGTAAAAAGTTGAAACGCTTCTTCCAGATTAGACCCCACAAAAAACCAACCTTGTTAGGGAATCCCTCAGCAACCCTCAGATATACCGAGAATATATGGACGCGATTTATAATTTTAGGATACTAAAAAGTGTACGATGGAGCGCATTTTTTTTTGTAAATAAAGCGAAAGAAATCAAATTGAGAATTCTGTATTAATAAAACATAATCTAAAATGTGGTTTTAGTTGAATCTATTCGTATTCATATTTTTTGCTATATTTCCTATGTAATAATTATATAACAAATTAAAAAACATAACTGCTTCTTCTTGCAGCATAGTTGCTCAATACCAATTTAATTGTTTACCATCAATCAAAAAAGTATGTACTAGGTACGCAATTCCGTGCAAACGTTCCCTTTAAACTGTCACCGATTCCATTTAGGTAATTATTCTAGTTATACCTATTATAAAATAAATATACAAAATTAAATGCAATGTTCAAAGTTGTTTTCATAAAAAATATATTAAAAGCGCGCTCAAATGTTCAAATGAGCGCTCATTCGGTGATAACATATTTTGATGCTGATTGTGTATCCAGTACTTTTTTGATCGATGTTGTTCTCTTAAGCTTTAGGACAACAAATCTAGAGATAAACGTGTCACATATCTTGAGTACTTGTAATTTTTCCAGAAGGGGTCAGTCTAAAATATGTCATAATGAATGGCCGATCCTTAATAAGCACATTAATCCCTTGACCCTCCTTCTTTAGGGGAAGCAATCTCTCCTTCAAATCAAAACTCTACATCACCCTAGATTAATATGTCATGGTGTGCTTATCCATAGTTGGGTACACCATATATAGCAAATGTATAATAAACTACCTTGATTTTATATTCTATAAAATCAGACTATTTTTAGGTATTTTATTTTTAATTAGTGGTCTAGTCGGTTATATTAGCATACGAAATTACGGTCAGTGTTTTTAATAATTACTCACATATATGTATTATGTTTTTGCCATACAATTAATATTAAGAATTGAATTAATGAGAGTAATAATATAATTATAACAACGTATAGAAAATTAACATTTGAAATCTTTACTCTTGAGTGCCAAAGACTGTACGTCTCAATTATAAATTATATAAAAAAACACTAATCAGATTAATTTTCGAATAAGAAGCGTTCATCACTTGACAATTTGTTTTATTTATCACACTTTTTGTTTCTTCAAGTTTTTCGGAAGCTTTTTCATATGTTTTTTCTGTTACCATTTCAATTAAGTGCTCCGATGTGTCTATAAATCATTAGTGCCATTAGTTATACAAATTGCACAATTTGCTCGCTGTTTTTGTGTCTAATATTTTTTGCTTGACAATATTTAAGAACATCTTTACTTAGCAACATAATATAACAAAATCATTACCAGTGAATAATAAATTAAAACAGCCGTAGCTATTTTATATGAAGCGGAAGGAGTCTCTACAATACATCAATTTAACACAGATTCCTCTGCGGTGAATCAATCCTTCACGAAGTCCTATTAAAAGTCAGTCACCACCTCGAATTTCCAGCCTCATGCCATTAAGTAGTGCTCCAAACTTTAATTATGTTCGGGCTGTGACCAATCGCGTTCGTGTTTGCGTATTCTTACAAGTCATGCAACGTGCTACCGAATCCTATAACTCTGATAAACAGCAGAGCTATGGCAGCATTACCAAATGGACCACAGAAATCATCTTTATCGTCATCCAATAAAAGATCAATGTCGTTTGAAACTGCTTGGCTTTCAAGAACTTTTTAAATTTCATTCATTGTTAAGCGGTTTTCGGCAATATAAATCATTGGTTGATGACGTAATTTGAGCTCTATTCGCCTCAAGTCAAGATCAATATCACTTTGATTACATCCAAAAGATTTGATAGAAGAGTTAAAATTGAGTCGTGTTTCGTCAATAGATTTTGGTACCCGAAGGAACGTGGCCCTCAGTTTCATTGTTGGACACTGAATAAAACGTGTCGGTAGGATGACGTGCCGGTTTTAGCTTAGAAACTAATTTGGAATATCACAATGAGTATCTATGCGGTACCGAAACAGCCTTTTGAATGTGCGAAGAGTGCCGCCGTTCTATTATATAGGTACTTGGCACGCGTTGTACCTAGGTGCTTAGAGACAATTTAGCAGCATCATTCTAAAATAAACAATGTCGTTACTTGGCGGATGCTCGCGACACTCGTACATATAAAATACACTTAAATATAACCTAGAAATAATTATACAATAAAATTTACATCTTTTAATAACGTTTGAATAATTTAGAATAAAATGATATAGATAACACTTAAAATTCATATATTAAATATAATTACTCGAATTGCCCAGTAGATTAAATTTAAGGAAGTAAGGTACCCAAAATGCGTGAAAAACGCCGTGAAGGTGGCATCCTGTCTTTATTACCGTGTTAGCTTCTTGAGTAAATAAAAAAATACTTTGTTTCGCTTAAACTAAGCACAATTTGTTCCGGTTACCTGCGGATGACGTTCAAGGGCAAAATTCGCTTTCTGACGCATTTAATGATAAATACCACACAAACATAAATATATAGTGTAATAAAAGTTTTAATTAATACTATCATTTATAGCACACGTATATACGTAACATATGTACGAGTATGTTCTGATACTAGTCGTAAGTGAAACTAGTTTGTTATATTCCGAATATTTATTAACCTATAACGTTTCTTCTTTTCAGGTGTTTGGTTCGAAAGCGGATCTACAGTTACACACGCAGATTCACTTACGTGAAGCGAAGCCGTACCGATGCACCCAATGTCCGAAAGCCTTTGCCAACTCCTCATACTTGGCACAACATTCGCGCATCCACCTCGGTATCAAACCTTACCGTTGCGAAATCTGTCAACGCAAGTTCACCCAACTGTCTCATCTACAACAGCACATCCGCACTCATACTGGCGACAAACCTTACCGATGCACGCAAATCGGATGTACCAAAGCCTTTTCCCAACTTTCAAACCTCCAAAGTCACAGTCGTTGTCACCAAACCGACAAACCGTTCAAATGCAATTCATGTTATAAGTGTTTCACTCACGAGAAGGATCTCCTTGAACACATTCCGAAACACAAAGAATCTAAACATCTGAAAACACACATTTGCCAGTACTGCGGTAAAAGTTATACTCAAGAGACGTACTTAAGTAAGCATATGAATAAGCATGCTGAAAGGGCTGATAAGCGGCCGCCAATATCCGCATTGGGACTGAGCGGGCTCAATAGGTCCCTAGCGGCGGCCGCGCCCACAGCTGCACCATTTGCCGACCATCCTTACTGGCCTAAAGTGAGCCCTGACTCAGCAGCTCACATGTCCGATGAAGGAGGATACCATCAACAGCGAGAGAGTGATGACCACCACGAACAGCAACTCCAGCAGCAGAGAGCTCTGTTCGCCCAGCATGAGAGTCAGGAAGACCGCATTCAGCCTCCAGTGTCTTCTGCCGCCAACTCCGCCTTTACACCAATCAATTCTATGGCGCCTCATCTCAACGGACTATCCCATCATAGCGCGCTCCCAACGAGACCGTATCTGTACGATCCGCTACACTTCCAGCAAGGAAAGCAACAGCCAAACTCGTTCCCTAATCAACTGATATCACTCCACCAAATCCGGAATTACGCTCATCAACCCTCGGCATTGTTGCCTGCTGAGCACATTCTACCCCACTCTCTAGCCCATAAAGACAAGCAGTAACCCTCTTGCCGTTTCCTATAGGTGCACTTACTTTAGAACTTATGATGGTATTATTAGTCTATAAACGAAAATTATTAAAATGTTTAGAATCTCGCTCTACAACACAGTGGTATGTATGAAATACGAAATTTGTTTGTCACTAGTGATGCGAAGTTCATGTTTTTAGACTTATATCGATATTGTGTATAATATTCTGAATCTGCGAGTAGATGTAACAAATATATTGGGTATGAAATGTGATTTTGAATTTTATGTGAATCTTGAATTTATCGCTTAATGATTAGTTTTCATAAAAGCACAGTTACTGTCAGTGTCAGATTATGAAAAATATTCAAATTCTTATTTAATTGTATATTAGTAGTATTGATCTAATAGAGATCACCCGAATATTATCATAGTAATTTACTATACAAATTATATTTGTGTCATTAAGAAAACTAATCTTTAAAATTGACATTACAGCAATAACGAAAGTCATTTTTAAAAATTATAGGAAATTATACATAAATTAAATGCATAATAAAAGGGCTTTACGAGCATAATAATATTCCACTCTTCAAAGTTTCAAATATTCTGTGAATCTAATCACATTTTAAACTGTAATTATAAATTTAAAAGTACTGAATGTTAAAAATATTATTTTAAAATAAAAATAGATATAATTTTTAAAGACACTTTTTATCAGAAATATGCAATAATGTACGAACAAAAGTAGTTATACAATGTGTTGTTTTAACCCGAACTATGGAAATCTAATTATAATGTGTTGATTGATATTTAATGAAAAACAGAGTTCCTCAACAATAGTGAAGTTACATTATCGATAAATTATAAATTCCATTTTAAATTACTGTCTACGTCTCTTTCTGTTGCATTTTTATGTTTATACATCAGATCTCTTAATCATCACAATTGCACTCAGTTCCTACTTAGATCGAATAAATTCTTAGCTTTACTTTTCATAATTTCTTGCGATTATTAGTTAATTTAATTATTGATTTAGAAAATGTGGTCTTCCTTCAGATTTGTACCTTTTTTTAGAACGGGATTGATAATAATGACTATATAATAGAAGTTAGTGAAGATAACGATTTCTCTACAGAAGTCCACAGAAGGTTGTGATATTATTCCTTGTATTTTGCATCAATCTCATATTTTTGTTTAGAGTTATGACATTTTGATTATTGAAATATTTTGGATTGTTAAATTAAAGGTAAATCACCTGTACAAAGTGTCTAAAGATCTGATAACAGACTATGTATTATGTAATAATATATCTAGCTAATACAATAACTTGTCAAGTGGGCATCGATTCTGCGATCTCCTAGGCACAACTTTCCGCCAAATGGTAGCTATAGACTTTTTTATAAAGTAGGGTGAATATTTGTTATTTATATCCTATTATTATTGGTTGATATTAATATAAAACTTCTATTTTGAAGGCTGAATACATTTTCTAATTGCATTTGTACAATACATAACATATGTGTATAATATCGACGGGTGGCCAAAATTGCTTTTTCACATCTATCGATATCGATAAAAGCGCACTTTTGTAAATATTTTGTAAATAATTACACATTTTTGAGAAAACTTGAAATTTATTGAATTTTTTTTTGTTCTTTTAAGTCTAAAATGCTTATGCTCAATTATATTAGACGTAAGATGTTGTTTGGTAATGGATACATCGCAAATGTAAAAATATTTCAGTGCCACTTAACACTTCATTAAGTGTCAGTCAAATATGAATTTTTGTTGGTGATAAACGGCTTAAGTTGGATCGTACTTAACAGTTGACATTTTTGTTAATAATTTTTATCGATAACGATGATTAGACAATTGATTTGACATTAGCGTCCCTATAAGGCAATGTGATTGCTGTTCTGAAGAATCCGGAGATTTACGTTGCACAAAATATTATTTTGCATTAAAAATCAATTGTTTAATAATCTCAGTCGAATTAGAATAATTTGATGTATACGAAATATTATTGGTTTGAAATTCAGCGTTAAAAATGTGATAGGAGCGTAGAGGGGAAAGGTGTATTTTTCGAATGTCTTTCGTCTAAATTTATTTGCTATTGATCTTTTTATTAGGTTACGATAGGTTGTGGTTATTTGTGATGGGGTCCCGTGGGGTCCCCGTGCCGTCTGTCTATTCGTCACAAAGTTAGCCAAATGCTAATTTTAAGTTCTTGTACAAACGTTGTTTTTATAATACGGCAATATTATTTCTTCCGAACGTTGTAAGCTTATGTATGTAGATAGGTGACGAGCCAAGGATATATCCAAATTTTTTTGAACTTTGGTTTTAAGGGAAAAGATCGCGATATCTCTCTATTATAAGTAGACATGTGATATTGTAATGATTTTTTTTAGTTAAGTGTAAACTTATTATTATGATTAAATACATAATATTTTTGTAAGTAATTTGCGTTTTATGATAGTTTCGCTTTGTCAAGCGGTCCCGTTTTAAGATTTTAGATGAAAGTGGACGGAATCTTTTTTGTTACTTAAAATCAATTAAAAATAATTACAACTATGCCAAGAATTATTTAATTTTATTTAAATCCCTTACACCCAAACCTATCCATCCATCTACATCAACAATGTTATAATATAAATAAATAACTAAAAAATCATTAGCGTAATTGACATCCCTTAATAAAAAGCCCAGACTAAGATAATTACAAAATGATTTGTTGCTTCAATTTGTTTATATAAAGTATTTATTGTATCAACTATCTGGTACCTATCCATAGCACAAGCCAATAGCCATAATATAGCGATAATTATAGTAGCTTACCATGGAACTATTAATAAAAAAAGTACGATAAGAGATGTTAAAGAAAATGGATTTAAATGAAAAGCAGCTTTAGAACTTTCCTTGTTTTTATTTAGTAAACAGTCGCAAATATATTATTGAATAGGTACTTAAAATAGGTATTTACAAAATATGGGGTCATTATACCTACGTAGGTAAAATTCATACAGCACAAACCATTCAAAATTAGAAAGCAGAATACAATATACTTAAAAAAATATAAGATGTAATTTATATAAAGTATAAAGCGAATGACGGACTTAGATTTTTTGGGGTAAAGTTAGTAGTATTAAAACGGACAAAAAAAATCTATTGTCTATGATCCGCCTTAATCTAAAGACCAAAAGCGAATTATGTCTCTTCATACGACTTTTTGTCTAAAAAAGGCGAAGAAAAGATTTAAAAAAACAAAGCTAACAAAATTCGCTCAAGTATTTTGACCAATAAATCACATCTTATCACTTAACAATAAAAGGGAATATTTTGATAATAATACATTATATGTATTGTCATTTAGTCGCCCTAAAAACTAAACGAGAATCATATAAAATCAAAAAAATGACTAGAACATAATCGATAGTGAATTTTCAAATGCTATATAAAACTTTAAATGAAATAAACGTCACAATATGAAGGAACAATAACACGATACACAAATTGATAAATTAAAAAAGTATAGACAAGACCGACTAGAGATCAATTCCGAACAAGTGTTTCGAAATCCAAACAATAACATAATAACATAAATAAAATTTAGAAAGCAGCGTACGTAGACGTCTTAAAGTAGTGGTAAAATAAATTTAAAAATTTATGTCGCACACATTTTTTGGTTATGCTAAAACTACATACGCCGGTTTTGATGGTGTTTAGACTTCAACCTTGTAGGGGGATCCGGGGATGTGGTCATCTCCCCATTTGATAATGACAATGTACTCTCCCCTGTCCCTCACAACGTACCAGCACTCATAATTGTTCTTGCCTTTGTGCTTCAGCTGCACTTCGTCGCAGGGGCCTTTAGGACCGTAGATACCCACGTAGAGAATGTTATTACCTGGCAACAAAAATAACGTATAATTCACTTCATAAGCATATTATAATCTATACTAATAAATGGAAAGCCGCTTTTTTTGTTCGGTTATACTGCGATAACTACTGAACCGATCGGAATAATACTCATATCATAAGATGCACCGTTTTTCAGAGAAGGTTTTAATATATGATACATTGGTGATTAATGCACTATGCGGGCAGAACTGCAGGAAAACACTAGTGATAAATATAAACAAAATAGCTAAAAAAAATAATTGATAGTTTACATTGTTCAGATAAAACTATAATGCTTGATTTAAAAAGAAAAGGAGATTTATCGCAATCGTTCATATAGTTCCAATGATGCGTGCTCTTTATCTTCACACGTCTCAATAATCGAAGAAAACTCAGACAGCAGTAAAGAACAAACAAAGGAAGGTTTTGAAAGTTCATTCCTGAAAGGGTCTAAATAGTGGATGAAAGTAAAAGTTGTAATCTCGTCATATTTGAAGTTAGAAATATTAAATTCAAAGCTTCTTACAATATATTGCTGATGGAAATTCCCATCAAGGTATCATATTTCTAGGGGAACAATATTTTACGTGTATGCTAACGTGTATAAACTATCTTGTAAACTCTCCTTCTGTTTCTTTTGCCTAACTGTACGTGCACTACATTGTACAATTTATTGGATTCAAGAATTGGTGGTTTAATTTAACGCCTCATAGAATAACTATATTTCACTTACAACTGCATCCACTACATATTTATCTAAAAATAAAACATTTTAAATATTCAACACGCACCTGCATCTCCCGCATGGACAGTGAATTGGTTGTGCTTATTCAGATACGCCTTCTTCAAGCCCATGCCCTTGCTAGTGACCTTGGTGGCGTCAGACTTGAAGTGTGGTAGCACTGGACCTTGCTTTTGAGCACCCTTAGCCACCTTCTGAACCGTTTCCACTGTGACTGACGATGTTTCCTGAGCTCCTATTTCTGCTAAATTTTCACCTGGAAGAGTCATTTAAGTTAAATTTCTAAGTGCCTAAGCCTTTGCGTAAAACATATGTATGTGAGTCTTATGTATCTTTTTAAATTGGAAGTTTACAAATAATAAAAGTCAAGATATGGTTCGATCTAGTA